AGACGATGGCTAGTGGTGAGGACTGTAGCTAGCTTGCAGTTGCAACTGCCGTCTACCAAAACAAGCCTGCAATATTTTAAATTGTCATTTTTAAAGCGGAAACTAGATAACTGAAGCTATTGGGTACTTTTTACAATGAAATGCACTCTTCCTGGTTTTAACAAGGCAGCTAAATCCCCTTCCGCAGTGAACATGAATGTGTACTTCTTGACCTTTTACCAACCATGACCTTGATGTTGTGTCATGCTTATCATAAGCACAGTCTCACGATGGTGATTATTTGTGCCAAGTTATTTAAAATTTTCCATATAGTCAAAAGATTATGGAGAGCATATGAACTTGACCTTGGATGTAGAAACCTGGATGTTGAGCTCTGGAGAATGCGTCATGGTGGGGATCATTTTTGTGCCAAGTAATTTTAAAACCTTTGAATTGTCAATAAATTATAGAGCTGACATGAAAAAAATAGATGTTTTTACATTGAACCTTTGTTGTGACCTTGACCTTCAGGGTTGTGACTTGTGAATTGTGCTCTGACAATGGTGTCATAAAGGTGATCATTTCTGAAAAGTTATCTTAAAAACATTGCAGCGGTTTCAATTAAATGTTATGAACAGACACGAAATGTAGACTTTCTAACATTTGACCTGTAAGTGTGACCTTGACCTTGGGGGTAGCCATTCACTTATTGCGCTCTGCACATCGTCTCATTATGGTGATCACTTGTAGTTGTTTAAAATAAAAATCAGTAAAATAGTTATTGTGCGGACACGAAATGTAAACTTTTATTGTGAAATGAAGGCTTTTAAACATTTGACCTTTAAGTGTGACCTTTACCTTGACGGTAGCAACCAATTTTTTTGCGCTCTGCACATCGTCTCATTATGGTGATCTCTTGTGCCAAGTTATTTCCAAAAAGTTTCAGCGGTATAAAAGTTATGGGGCGGACACGAAATGTAAACTTTTTATTGTGAAATGAAGGCTTTTAACATTTGACCTTTAAGTGTGACCTTGACGGTAGCAACCCAATTTTTGCACTCTGCACATCGTCTCATTATGATGATCACGTGTGCCAAGTTATTTCAAAATATTTACAGCGGTTAACAAGTTATGGAGCGGACACGAAATGTAGACTTTTAATTATGAAATGAAGACTTTTTAACATTTGACCTTTATGTGTGACCTTGACCTTGGAGATAGCAACCCAATTTTTGCGCTCTGCACATCGTCTCATTATGGTGATCACTTGTGCCAAGTTATTTAAAAAAAAATCTGCGGTTAAAAAGTTATGGAGCGGATACGAAAGTGTTACGGAGGCCATTTCTATAATCCCCTTTCCGGTATGCGGAAGGGGATTTATAAAAAAAAAACTAATGTCAAATTAGGAGAATGTAGCAAACAAAAACATTATTTATGCATTTAAGTAACTTGCGACACATCTGTGCAATTTCAAAGTCCATTAAAGTTAAATCATCTTTTTTGCGCTAGCAAGTAAATTTTCTGAATGAGGCAATTCATATACACTTATATCTAGATATTATGTAAGCGCATTAAAAGTGGAAAAGATATTACGTGGAAAATTACGCAAACAAGATGCTAATTTCTAAAATACCTTGTACACCACATCATGATATCGCAAACAAATAGGTGTACAGTGATACTCCTGGAAAGCAATGAACGACTGTGATATAAGATTGGAGCAACTTAAATATTCATGTTTGCTACTATACATGTTAATTACTGGTGTATTTGAAAATTGGTATTTTTTTACTTTTCTTCGTGTGACTTAAAATGGTATATAACTTCAAATAATTGTTCTTTGTTACACTCACATCATGTATGACAATGTTCATAAATCTAGCATCTTTATTTCAAAGAGTTATCTCCTCTTTAAGCATTTAACTTTAAAAGAATTTATATTTTGGTAACAGGGATGTTTAAAAAATTAACTTTGAGTCTCCTTCAGTATGTCTGTTCATAAAAACTGTTTCCTGGATTCATTTTTAAAGATTTTTTCCAACAAATTTACTTAAAATAGAGAAAAGTTGAAACATTAGTTATACTTATTTCATCCTGAGAAAACTGGACCTTTTGATTATCTGTTGTATTAACGTAATTTCCTTACTAGGCAGGGAAACTTAACATATTATTTTACTATGATATAGACAAACTTAGAACTCAAAAGATTTAAGTTTATTCATGTTATTCATTCATTCAATGGCATAATTGAATGGCCAATGGCCCATCAGAATGTTGCTGGGGTTCTAACCGGTAGGGGACTTATGGATTGCTTGCAATACTATGATAATTGCTTGTTAATCCTGATGTAACATCATTACAATCAGTTCAAATGCCACTAAAATTACATGTAAATCGCAAGAGCAGTGTTTATAAATAACCTCTATTTAAGAGAAAATGCCTAACTGACAGCTATACTGTTGACAAGGCAACAAAAGCCAACTCGCAGAGTTCTAGTTTCTATGAAAATATAATTAATACCATCGAGAGATATGAAAATAAAATTAATATTTTATAAGTGAATGTATATTTTATGAAAATAAATCCTGTCTTGTAGAAAATTTTCAGGAAATAACCATATACTTTCATGACCTTACAATGCAAAAGGTTTCTCCTTTAATGTTGTGTACTGCCTGAATTTAGAAGAAAGTAGTCTGGTCAATTAAACGCATTTTATTTCGTCAATATTTCATTTAAAAGTATTATAATAAAACATGTTATCCTTACTTAATCATTTGTGAAAAAATAAGCCTATTGTTATGTAAATTGACAATGTAAATGTTAAAATCATACTAAGTTTGTTGATTATCATTTATAACAGTATAACATATAGTGTATTAATTTCAAATGTATATTTGATTTTGTGATTACATAAATTTATACTGATTAAATTCTTTGGGTACATGCCTATATATATTTTTGTGCTAAGATAAAATAAATCAAATGAATGTTAGACTGATAATCATCTCATAGCTAGTAACACGCAATTCTAAAAATAGTAACACGCAATTCTATAAATAGTTACACGCAATTCTATAAATAATTACACACAATTCTGAAAAAAACAGAAACGCAATTCTAAAAATAGTAACACGCAAATCCATAAATAGTAGCACGCAATTCTATAAATAGAAACACGCAATTCTAAAAATAGAAACACTCAATTCTATAAAAAGAAACACACAATTCTAAAAAAAGTACCACACAATTCTAAAAATAGTAACACATAGTAACACGCAATTGCTAAAAATAGTAACACGCAATTCTATAAATAGTAACACGCAATTCTAAATAATAGAAACACGCAATTCTATAAATAGTAACACACAATTCTGAAAAGAGAAACACGCAATTCTAAAAATAGTAATACGCAATTCTATAAATAGTAACACGAAATTCTATAAATAGAAACACACAATTCTAAAAATAGAAACACTCAATTTTATAAAAAGAAACACGCAATTCTAAAAAAAGTACCACAATGCGACTTAATTTTTGACTGGAGACGACCCATATTCGAACTTGACCTAGAAATCATCAAAACAACTCTTCTGACAAATTTCCTGAATATTTGGATCAAAACTGCAGCCATTATCTAAGAGTGTTAACAAGCTTTTTCTATTTTTAGCTCCTGTGACCTAGTTTTTGACCGGAGATGACCCATCTTCGATTTTGACCTAGAAATCATCAAAACAACCTTTCTGACAAATTTCCAGAATTTTTGGATCAAAACTGCAGCCAGTAGAGTGTTAACAAGCTTTTTCTATTTTTAGCTCCTGTGACCTAGTTTTTGACCGGAGATAACCCATCTTAAAACTTGACCTAGAAATCTTAAAATAACCTTCCTGACAAATTTCTAGAATATTTGGATCAAACCTGCAGTCAGAAGAGTGTTAACAAGCTTTTTCTATCTTTAGCTCCTGTGACCTAGTTTTTGACCGGAGATGACCCATCTTTGAACATGACCTAGAAATCATCAAAACAACCTTCCTGACACATTTCCAGAATAGTTGGATCAAAACTGCAGCCACTAGAGTGTTAACAAGCTTTTTCTATTTTTAGCTCCTGTGACCTAGTTTTTGACCGGAGATAACCCATCTTCGAACTTGACCTAGAAATCATTAAAATAACCTTCCTGACAAATTTCCAGAATATTTGGATCAAAAACTGCACCCACTAGAGTGTTAACAAGCTTTATCTATTTTAAGCTCCTGTGACCTAATTTTTGACCGTAGATGACCCATCTTAAAACTTGACCTAGAAATCATCAAAACAACCTTCCTGACAAATTTCCAGAATATTTGGATCAAAACTGCAGCCAATAGACCTAGAAATCATTAACCTTCAAGGTCAAGGTCATTAAAAAACCCAAGCAAATTTGGGTTTGACTGGTCCTTAAGAATGTTCTGTTAAGTCAGTTACAGCCAAAACAATGAAAATTTCAATAATTGACTTTCAAAGACAATGTCATTAATGAGTGAAGGTCAAGGTCTGTCGGGTTATTTTTAAGAATTATCCTTGAAGATTATCATGTTTAAGTTTGAAGACAATCCATTAAAAAAACAAAGTTTCAGCCAATAATTGCCAAAAAAAATGAAAATTTCAATAATTTGGCCTTCAAAGTCAAGGTCATCTATGAGTGAAGGTCAATGTATGTCTGATTATTTTTAACGGATATCATTGAAGATTATTATGTTCAAGTTTGAAGACTATCCATTCAAAAATAACAAAGTTACAGTCAATAACAGCATGAACAAGCAAAATTTGGACTTTTAACCTTGACGGTCAAGGTCATTTATGGATGAAGGTCAAGGTTAGTGTGTTCTAGTGAAAGGTTGTTGTTGCCAAGTATGAAGACAATACACCAAGAAAAAAAAAGTTATGATCCAGGTACAAGTCAACGGAACGGCAACGCCGCCGCGACTTTAGCAATACCTCTACTTTTTTTTCAATCAAAAAAAAAGTCGAGCTGAAAAAGGATAAAATTAAGTTTTAATTTCTTTTTTTTTAGTATCAAAACACCCACTTCTAAAAATTGGGTAAATGTACATTTCGTTAATAGACATGTGTGTTTCTGCTCAATAACCAAGGCCCAGTATTCATGTTTTTTATAAAATTATTGCCTTTATTAATTTATACAGAAAGTATTATAGCTTGATTGTTTAAATAGCTATAAGCTAATAGACAAACTATCTTATTCAACCAGTACTACAGGTAAGCAATTTGTCTAAAGTTTCTCGCTCAATGGGAAAAGACACCTATTGCCATAGGTGCAGGTGCTAAAAAAAGTTATTATTGATATATTTATTTCAGTCTCAAATATATACATATATTTACACATCAGTACTTCATAATAAAATATACATAATCAATCTATTGCAGATTTAAAAGACTTGTCCTCTATAAAAAAAAAACAATTCACCTAAAAAGCTACAATGAAAATATTTCCGCTATATAATTAGAAAAGTTATAATACACATCTATTGTTTTAAAAGTTGACATTTTACAAGTACCTTGTCACATTTTTCTATTCTTCACTATCATATTCCTAAGTCGTTAAAACAAAAACAATTGAATGTCGCGTAATCATTTTCTCTATTACATTTATGTTAGATTATCTACATGACTTGTGTCTTTATACATTGTATATTGATGTATTAAGCCACCGGACTGATATATTTCTTAGATTTATAATAAATTGATGTAAACAATTTTTTTATCATATTGTATTAGCTGATACGGAAAAATGAATCAATTTCATGCCGTAAAATTCTAAGACTGTTCGTTTCTGTTACTCTCTGTACACTTCCTAGACATGTTGATGTGTTAATTGAAGACTTTAATTCTGAATTATCTGTAAAACGTAAGCACACACGACCTTTATCCTCGATTTGTTCAAACACTTTCATTGCATCGTTTACAGTCTGTTGCATCAGTTTTGTCTGAACAAATTGTTCTCTCATATTAAGATTATGGGATGTCTGTAGCTGGCTACTTGTTTTCTCAATTTCTTGTTTAACTTTACTTATTTGAGAGATATTTGTCTCAATATCATCTTTAACCAAAGTATATTCTGTCTCCAGAGCTTCCAATGCTTCATGCTTCAACTTTTGAATATGTTCTACCAAGTCCTGTTCAATTGCCTCTACCTGTGAAATGACCTCACTTCTTTGCTCCTCAATGCTATTGTTGTTCGTCTGCATCTTCTGTTCAGTGTCTTCTAAACGCTTTTGAATGTTAACCATATCTGAACTTAAACGCTCAATGTCTATTTGCTGACTTGAAGAAATATCAACGTCTTCTAAATTAAGTATTCCACTGCAAGATCTGGAGAAACAATCAATTATTACCGATTAAACAAACTAAATACAACATCTCCACTACACGTTCTTACAAGTCTGAAATATTAGAAAATATGAGATGTATAAGCATAATTATTATAATTGTCAGCGAACAAGGAATATTAGCAAACTTTTCTTTCAAAGACAACAGCAAACTATCTTAACTATGTTCCTTTTCACATTTTAAATAGAAAAATCCTTCTTAACGTCCCTTTTTTCATTGTACAAAGCAATTATCGAAATGAAAATGTTAGTTAGGACTTAATTCTTATTTCTTATAAGCTTTAGCATCTTTTCTATATTTCGTATTTGATGATTGAATAAAATTATATGTAACATATCGCAACAACATTTCTAAGTAGTCACTGATTAAAGCGCACAGTTTCGAAAAGACTATATCAACCTGTGTTTTCTACATTTTCTTCTGGTAATTATCTTTACCATACCTTCATGAAAGAAACCATTTTTTCCTATAAAAATAGACAGGGGGTATTGCTTACCAATGTTTTAAATAATTCTTTCCTGAAAATGACCCAAAAGAGCTAAAAACTCACAGGTGCATATAGCTCAGAAATTAAATAGGTTTCATATAAGATTGTTTCAATTAAAATTTCCTTGAATCAGATCTAAGTAAAGTTCAAGGCACATTATGCCCAAGAAATACTTACTTGTTAGCTCTTAGATATGTCAAACATATGTTTAACAATGTTCAATTAATGGAATAAGAGCATGTTAGATTTTTACAGATGAAAAATGTAACACTGACTGAACATGAAAATATGTGTCGTATAGGTAGCAAAATATATAGAGGATATTGAATGAGTGTAGTTTAGGCTAATACTAAATTTATTGAACGAATTGAATAAAATCATATTATGTGAGCCTCTGGCGAGCATAATATTGTTTTATTCAACGAGTTCAATAAATTTAGTATTGAATCTACACGAATATAATATTCTATTTATCACATATTAAAAATAGGAACAGTAAACTGTTAAAATGATTAATTTTGACGCGCCCCTAGTGTAACGCTAACATTAGCGCGCTTTAACGCTATATGTTTCTTTATAGTGCAAATGACGTCACGTCAAAGTGTTATATAAAGGATATTGAATGAGTGTAGTTTAATACTAAATTTATTGAACGAGTTGAATAAAATCATATTATGCGAGCCTCTGGCGAGCATAATATTGTTTTATTCAACGAGTTCAATAAATTTAGTATTGAATCTACACGAATATAATATTCTATTTATCACATAATATAAAATGAGAACAATAAACTGTAAAAATGAGTAATTTTTCAACGACGCGCCTATAGTTTAATGCTAATATTAGTATAGCACGCTTTAACGCTATGTTTCTATATAGCGCAAATGACGTCACATCAAAGTGTTATTACACTAGTGTAATATCGTTTTTATTAAATGGCTTTATTACACTCCTGTGCCGCGGTTTATGTGATAAAACAATATAGTCTGTCCCATCAAATTTGAATATTCCATTTTTTATTTAATATAATAGTAAAATCATTTAAATTGATGTCATGTTAACCCTGCCGTCAATATCTCTAGGCATGTTTTTCATTTTTTTCATAAAGTCAGTAATATGGTCAAAATATTAAAATTATATTTTTTCCCGTTGACTTACGTTGTAACCTGACGTGACGTCCATTTCAAAATGGCGGCGCCCATATAGACGTCATTTAGGGTTCGTCTCACAATTACCGTGAAATGTACTCGGTTATTATAAATATTTACTTACTGGTCAATAGCTAAATGTTATCATTAAAAAGAAAATGAGATCAAAGTTGGTGTCAAAAAGGCAAATTTACTAGGAAATCATTATTCAAAATAATCAAAATCATTTGAATGAAAATATCAGTAACCGCTTTATAATTTCTAACACACTAAAATTTATATAATTACCATGATATAAATCTACTGTCGTATTTTATATTCTTTTTAAGAGCGCTTATCTTGAATACCGCAACGCTTCGCAGGAAAACGGGAACACTAGCTAGAAGACTAAATGATTCTTCGCTAATTTAATGTTTAATTCACAGACACTTGTTTAGAAGCGAATATAAGGCATTTATAATGACATTACTCCAGTATATACTATAAATAACACATTCAACATAAATGACAAAGTATATAATATACATTTGAAAACAACGTATATCTACAAGAAGAGATCACACTTTAAAAACACTAAGTTATTTAAGAAATAATATATCCCAAACAGTGATTTTATTGGTCAATTTAACATCACTGTTTGGAGTTCGGATGCGAGGAATTATATCACGAGGGCGTAGCCCGAGTGATATAATGATGCGCATCCGAACGACAAACAGTGATGTTATCAAGCGATAAAATCACCGATTTGGATATATTATTTCAATTCTAAAACGACATTGATCAACAAATAAATGCTGCAGTACATGATAATAAGCAAAATTGCGCCTGATTTGTTTCCGTACTTATTTAAAGCTTTAGTGGTTACCACATTGGCCATAGCTTTTGCAGAAGCGGTGGGTCTACCGGTGCGGCGATGGAGAATTCGTCGCAGAAGCGGTGGAAAAACATGGCTGTCGGACAGTTTTTTTGCTGGTGTTGGTAAATCTATAACTGATTTTTATGTTACATTTTTATGTTCAACTGATAACACCTAGTGAGACTGGAGCCCACATATGTACTCTTCCAACGTATTACCCGCATGGGGTGCAAATCATGACCAGTTATGCAACAGTTAACAGTTTATTGAAAATGCTGGGCCTCATAGAGGCATCAGTCACATATACAATAATATATACATATAGTATGACATATAAAGAGATATCCACGAAATATGCTGATGTATTACATGGCAAATAAAAATAAAAAATGAAAGTGTTACATTATGAAAATAAGCTTAGTTATCAGTTACTAAAATGCTGAAATAATTTTTTACAGAATACTGCAAGTTTTAACAATATACTCCTATCTGTGCTATTCATTAACATTGAAAACTTGATTGAATTAACATTAGTACTATACTCTCTAGTAATATATTTTTTTCTATCAGTATTAAAGAATTGACAATTAAATAAATAATGATATTCATCACCAAGTGAGCTATTATTGCATAAATTACACACTCTTAATTCTCTTGGTATATTACAAAATCTACCAGACTCAATAGGCATTTTATGGTTCATACATCTAAAGCGCAATAGTACCAAAGCTAAATGAGATGGTAAAATATCTAAAAACTTTTCAAATCTGAATTCACTTTTGCAAACACTTCTGTACAGTTTTACGAGGGGACGCCACTTTTGCCTAATTTTGTTTATAACACTACAAATGTACTCAAAACTACACATAGATACACTGGCATCGCATCGTATGTATGAAAATTACACAAAACAACCATATTTTGGAACTTTTTGAAATTGATAATACCATTTTCATTAAAGAATTGACACAAATTTATTACAACGCACTGAACGCAGACGGCGGTGGATTCGATTGCAACGCAGTGCGATGGGCCCCGATATCATTTATGTCTTTTTTTAACGTTAAAGTCGCAGACACTTAGGAGTTGAGCTCCAAACGCCTTAAAATACAATGAAATATATATTTGTTAATCCTAACACATATAGTTGTTATATATATATCAATGATATATACTTATATTAGTAATATAGCCACGTGGTACAATTTACAAGTAGCGATTTCATGTTTACTTTTGATATTAACATTTTTATTCATCTGATCGACTCTGATCTGAAATTTACTATTGCTGTATAATTCTTTTCACAGAGGTTTCTACATGAAAACATAACGGTCCTCCGTATACCCTGTTGTTGTTTTTAGCCAGAAATCAGATATCTTTGACGACTCACTGAGGTGAAAATTCGACGGAAAAGCGAGTATATTTATCACCGTTACATCAACAAAGCAAGCTAAGGACTCTTAAACCAACGTGAGTATAAATTACTTCTAGTACTAAATTCACTTCTTGAATGGTTAGTCAATAATATAATATATATGTATTTCTAATTTCCTTGGGTCGAACTGTCAGTATATCTATCAGTAGCACTATTGACCTATAAGAAATACAATTAGTGATAAGAACATATATAATTCACCAAACATCGACTAAAGCAAAGTCTTTAATACAGATTGGTCACACAGCAAAACATATTTATAATTGATTTACATTGTATATAAGGAGTCATTTAATAATATTTGACTAATGACTGGTAAGCTAGTTTGAAGTATGAATCTTTCCAGAAAAAAGCATGATTCCAGTTTAAAAGTCTAGTGAGGAAAGAACATATAACGCACATTATATTAATTTTGTTTATTTTTCCTTGCCTTCAGGGAACATGACCAACCGAACAGAAGAAGAACGAAGGCACGGCGGAAATTAGGTGTCCTGACATCTAACATTGATGCGCCACCAAAAGGAACTTTGCCAATGTGGAGAGAATACCACAAATGTGACGAATCTAAAGTGTTACCCAACAAAAGGTCACAAATGTCAGACATTAGCATGCAACGTTATAACATAACGGTGCTGATTTTTAAGTAGAAGCTGTATTCTACAGCCGTGTATAGTTACAAGTACAAACAAAACGTGAGCGCATGTTATAGACGTTTTCATCATTATTACATGCATTAACACATATAGGCAGAAAAAAGATCAATAGATATTAAGCTTTGTATGACGGTAGGATTGATAGCAGAAACATTTAAAGGTCGGCGATGTCATATTAGAGCTTTTTGTCCTTGACCTTGATTTAATACCTACAATGTATATAGAGTTATTTCAATGGAATGAAATACGTCTGATAAAAACTTTCTTCTTTTTATTATGTTTTTCATTATACTTTGGCAAAGCATAAAATTTGATTCAATAAAATAGTACTGTTATCTTTTTTCAGTTGCATGAAAGGTGATTTAAATAATTAATTAATTAATTTTTTTTTAAACATTTTTCG